AGGTCTCAGATGGTGAGTGTTTGCTTTATAGCATACACTGTGCACAAATGTAATATCTATTTTTTTAGAAATCTGACTCAGTCTAAAATTAAAGTTAAGAGATGAAGAGATGGTATACTTTCTGCGTTTTCACTTCATTTTTCTAAATTCCCAACATACATATTAACACATCTAGCGTATGCCCACAACTTCCTATGATATCATCATGAAACCTATACCTGCATCAAATGCCTAATGATTTTACATCAACTTTTACCAGAAAATTACAACACGTAATTTCTCCCCTGCCTACAGATTTTGTATCCCTTCATGGCAGGCCAAACAAATTCACAGATGCTGCGAGAAAGTTTTGTGATAAACTGACAGTGTTTCACACATCAAAAATATGTGTATATGTAAGAAAAGCCCACCTGCTTAAAAAGCAGAAGTGCGAGGTGAAAAAACTGGAAACATCAGTGAAAAGCTGAGATTGGAGGTTCATTATTAATTTTTAAAAGACCCTGAATAGATAGCTTCAATGACAAGCCACGGTGGACGGTTAATAACAATGACCATGTCAGAGCACAGGTCAGGTTTGTTTGAGTCATCTCTCTGAGATTGTGCTTTGAGGAAGAATAGGGGAAGTCCCACTCTATTTCACTCTTTTTTCCCCTAACCTTTCCATGGTAGTGGTTTAGAGAGGTGGGGGTTAAATACTTAACGTTTAAGAAGCAACAGTGACAGGTGCCTACAGCTCATTTCAATTCATTGCCAAGGAAAAGGACATTTAAACACTTTTCTGTAACATCAGCCTGTGTGTGACTACTGTCACCTTCAGTAGGGAAGTAGTACAGTGGTAAAGTACAACCTTGCGTTGTAGAATGATAAATAAATTAACCTTGAGGACCAGAAAACAGAAAAAAAAGATCTGTGAAAGAAACAAGACCTCTTTTTAGGTGTGGAGTTCCTTAATCTACTGCTGAGCTTTAAATTATATTTCCTTCTCAAAAAGGAGCATGAGGGTGAAGAAACAAAGCAAACAGAGAAGCACCAGTTTTGATGAACAAAGAGCTGTCTGGAGACCAGTTTTTCTTTGCCTTTCAAAGGTTTAGGCCTCTTAGTAGTCTCTATTGAAACTAAGCTGTGATGAGCAGGATCCACTGTTAAAGCATATCCTCTGTACAACCAACACACAGAGCTCAAGGATTACCAGACGTTGTCTTAATTGATCTCATTATCTTCTCCTTGCTCCTCTATGAGGCTTTCCATTCTGAAGTGTATCTTGTGATATCTCCTTAATGCCTGCAATTTGACATAAAGTATTAATGTCAAAGTTTTTTTATCCACCTGAGATGAGTTCAGGGGAATATCATTAAAAAGACATTCCACCATTTTAGTCATCAAAGTCTGTTTACAGGTCTTTACAACTACGACAGAGTTGTATAAAGTTTGTGAGTGAGCTCTTCTGTAGCCTGCTCCTCATCTCTGCTTGAGGCTAGAAGCTCGACGCTGCATTAGTCGCTACTAGCAAAACACACCTGAATCTCTGACCAAACTGCCAGTGGTCAAGTTGCATTGGGGGTAATGTAGGCAACCAGGTTTTGACAGGGAAGAAGAATGTCCATTGTGAGTCTGACAGTGTTATAGGCACTTAATAACACATAATAACACTTAATAAATGCTTTATATGTAGTTATAAGCAGTTATAAGTGTTTATTAATGCATTTGTTAACAATTGTAACTCCTCCTGTGGACACCCATAAGTGGAGGCTGCTAATTGAGCACTAAAGATTCAGGTTGAATTAATGCCATGGGGCCGACAGCATTGGTGTGCGAAGCGGGAGTGCTGTGGATGTCTACGTTTTCTTCAGGCTATTAACTGCTGGCGATTAAAAATACATATATATTTTGAATTACAGTGGTTGCTGTATCTGTCAGTCACATTGAACAGGTTGTTGTAGTCTGGCACTCCATCTGCTCTCTCTCTCCTCTCTCGTGTGTAATTTCTGTGGTTGCTCTGATGTTTACAATGTTTAGTTTAAGTTGGCAATTTTTCAATATCTGCTCTTCAAAATATTTACCATCGCCCCTTTATTCAGCAGTTGTAAGAGTTTAAGTTATTGAACTGATGCATACTTGATACATACTTAATTAAGTTACTGATAACTGAGTTAGTGATGAGTTATTTTGATTTGTGCAATGCGCAAGCCTATATCATAGATATTCCAGCCGGGCTTCACAGTTTTAATGTATTTTGGTGTGCAGTGTGCAGTTATATATTCCTTTTGGCTTTCTGCCTTGTGTAAAGTTCTTAGGTTAAGTATTATTTAGATATAAATGATCCTGCTTAATCGGGTACACGTACATCATATAGTATTATTTTACAAGTCAATAGTTTATCAGTGAGGTGTAATAGAAACTACACTGCAGACTGGAGTCTCTGTTAACAGTGGCAAACAGACTGACAGCTGTCTCATATGACCTCCGCAATGTGAATTAATGCGCATCAGTAGCTCCACGTATGCGCCAACCTGTTGGAACACGTTCACACTCCTAACTCATCAGATATTGTTAGTAACCTCCAGAACTTACGCGCTCGTCCCCTTATGGGCTGTATCCTTACTGTCCTTCAATATTATAAACTATAATAACCTGGCTGAGGTCACATCTCTCACCTGCATGCATGCACTGCCTCTCTCCCTCTTTCCTTCAGTATTGTTAAATCAGCGCTGGTGATTGAAGTTGTTGGGACTGCTTCCACACACAGTATGTTCGTGTTCAAGTTTGCAAAAAACATGAATGCTGCACAGAATTTAGTATGACGTCATTATATAGACTGACTTTGTCCAACACCCCCAACTGTCACTGGCACCTGGCTGAAAGGTCACTATATTGTTTAACATGTTGTAGTAAACTGCAAACATACTATAACTGTATTTTTTACAATGGATAAAACAATACAAAGATAATAGTTAATTGATTGATAGCAAAAACAACTGAGAAATAAAAATGATTGTTACAGTGTCAGTTCACATCCGTCTGCTTTAGGTCCCTGTGGCAGTAAAGATTACTGCTCAATACACTCATCATTTTGATGTTTGGCTACTTAAACACATAATGTTAAAGCTATAGTCAACAACTGCAGGAAATGTGTCCCTTTAATAGTATATAGTAAATTGTATTACATTTCTGTTTGTGAGTAAAGAGAACACACATCAGCAGCATGGCCTCTGACCAATATAAACACAGAAAGCATTTTATTTTTATTTTATATATTTCTGATCTTAAGTTTCATATGGTGGGCCAAAACAGATCTACTGACAAATTTCTATCAAATGTTCTTTGTTCCAATTTAAAAAACACACACTATGAACCAGCCTCCCCCTCAGCTGAGTCAGTGCTGCTTTAAAAAAAACTTCTAAAAGCTTGTGTGTACACATTGGCCTTTTCTAATTTGTTGCTCTGCCACCATAACATACACTGTCTATGTTGTTTTGTTTTATTTACTGATACTGTGCACTTAGAGTGGTAATTTGTAATGTACGTCCTGTATCCCTGCTGTGTAATGTTTGTGTTTTTTTTTTTTTTTTTGGTGTTTATATAAAGCAACTAGTGCTTTGAAAAGTGCTACAAAAAGAAAAGTAGATAAATATCTATCGCGAACACACGAATACGAAAAGTGCCGTACCACTCTGGTTTAATCTACACTTAATGTGTCTATTTCAGTTGGAGACGCTTTGTATGTCAGGAATAGACCAAATGGTTACACTATTACATTTAGTGGAAATTAGCTACTCTTCGACTGAGCTCTCAATGAATCTGAGTTGCAACAGGCATTCTGCTGGAAGACTTATCTGGGGTAACTAATCTCACCCTAAAAACATACATGAACATTATGTGCTAGCACATATAGTGAGGAGGAGGTGGTTGGAGGAAGGAGCTGCAGCAGCAAATGACATTGGCGTGAAGGTATCAGCGGCATAATAGTGAGAAGTGCTGCTGGCTACATCTGTAAATATTACTGGATGTTACTAGTCAGCTGCCAACTAACTGATGGGTGAACCACTGATGGGTGAAGCATGAATGAAGCTGATGGCAGCTGATATAAATTATTCCAATGTTCTATTTATGTTTGTTTGGAATTCTGAACTACTTGAATGCAAAATGATATGACATATAATGACATATTCTAGGCGTTTATTTAACACATTTAGAGAATAAAAACAGAATACTGTAAAGTTGGAACTGTCTTTTAGTAGATCTGTTTCCCCCCTAGATCCAGAAATAGCAAACAAGCTTCTTCCTAATTTTGGAGTATTACCATGAGGCCTATTAGCAACATAAAACTGTTCCTGTCAGTTATATCAGCGTATTGCATATATATGCATTGGTAAATATATAAATGTCCGCCTATACGTAAATTGCAGTATAGACATGCCAAAGATATGTCTGATGTGATTTAGATAATCATCCCAAGAAAAATGATAGCATAAGTCATTTCAGCAAATGCCCAAAAACGATGCCGTAGTGAGCCTGTAGCGGCCGTAGGAATTATAACAGAGAGCATAGAAGGAAGTCTGTTGACATTATTAAAAAAGCAACAAACTACGCATGGGGGGGGGGGTTGGTCGGGTTGGGTGGATGG